TGACCTCGTGCTCCTTTAATCCGTTCCTACATAACGTTTCGATGACTTCACTAAATTTCGATATATATTTATAATAATATAAAAATATTAAAAAATATAAAATATAAAATATAAAATATAAAAATAGAAATATAAAATATAAAATATAAAAATAAAAATATAAAATATAAAAATAAAAATAAAAATAAAAATAAAAATATAAAATATAAAATATAAAATATAAAATATAAAAATATATAGTACATTTATTTCATAAACTACTCTTAGTTTCGAAGCTTTTAATTTAATTTTATCTCATCACAATACTCAAAATTGGATATCACAGTCACCTATAACCCAACGATAAGTTTCAAAGGTCGATAATCCTTAAATAAATTTTTTTATCAATCTTTACTCTACATTTCTTTATCGATCCGATATAGTCAACGCGCATTGTACAAAGCCGGAAATCGGCCATCTAGCAAAGTTAATTTCTGCAGCCAGCTAGGTTGAAATTTATCGACGCTTAGAAGGCCATCGGTTTATCGTCGAAGGGCCACTAGCATCCACGATATTTCTCGTGCATGCTAAAGGGCCTGGAAAAGCAGACGCCCTTCCAAGCGTTCTTCCAAGAGTGAAGGAGAGAGGAAGGAAGAGTTTTGTTGCACGGTCGCTAGCTACGGATAATTAAGGATAATGGAGGCGCCCGAGGGAAGACGGGAATGGATGAGGTATTTCCAAGTGATGGAATATTATGAATAGTACTTTGCACGATACCGCAGAGATATCGGCCCTCGGCTCGAAAAGGGAACTGGTTTTAATTTTTGCGATATTTCGTATTCATAGCGCGCGCCATCGTGGAAATCCTTTTGCTCCGAGTGTCTGTATAATGCGCAATATATTGTTATCACGTCTGTTAGAATAACAGACGGTCATCCGTTGGGAAATTATCCCTGATTCGAGTTTTGCTCGCGTGATAATCCATTCGAGTTCGCGTGGCCTGGCTCGCGAGAGCATTCGAACATTCCAACTGCGTTACATTTCCATATTTTGAAGTTTCGATAGAACTTTAGTTACGAGACGCGACTGTCACGATTATACTGTTATTTCCATAATGAATGACTTATTACGTAACAAAGCTCGGTATTTCGTGAAAGCGTATCCACCATCTGTTTAAGATTCTTATTTATGTACTGTACATCAAGTTTTTGCTTGAGATATCCTTCGTAAATATCACCCAAACGTTTTTTACGAACGTTTCCATTAACTTTGAACGTGATCATGATAGTCGTGTTTCATTACTGTTTCATTTAACGGCGTAATAAAATGCAGATATAAAAGTTGTTTTGTGATACGTAAATATAGTAAGTGGTATTCAAATACTTTCGGGCTAATGTACCTACATACGTATAATCGAACGAGTACGCACGCAACCATGAAATTAACGCGGTGTGCATTAGAATTCTTGCGAGCGCGATCGAAGCGATGACTTAACGTATCAGGATAATATTAAATGAAAAAAGAAGTTAGAAACGTTCCCACGTTCTGGCCGATCGTTTCTTTCAATCGAAGGAATTTCTCGCGGCGGTAAAAATCGATGTCCAACCGATTTGAATAGAAATCAGCGAGTTGTTTTTTTTTTTTTTAATCGAGGCGAGTCTCAACTAAATCATTAGCGGCATTAATCACACGCCCCACCAAACTGGTTGCGTTGCGAATAATCTGCCGTGGAGAATGTTCGCGATTTATGCGGTCTACGTTGCACGAGATAAATCTGTCAGTTAAACAGATCCACACGTTCGATCATATTCCAAGGGAACCGTCATCGATTTCACGTAAGGTATTCGCAAGATTACGTTGTTGTCTCGTTACCAATGTTAAGACAGACGTTTCCTTTTTTTTTTTTTTTGCGATAGATAATATACTCATTTCCTCTCGTGAACCTGTTTCTCGATTTATTTATGCGTTCCAGTAACGCAATCGTCGACCGTTAGTCACCGAATCTAGTACGAAATCCAGCTGACGGTAATAATTTATCCAGTCGAAGAAACATATCTGTGATATATTACGAAATCAACGACCTTTTGTCCATTTCGCGAATGGAAGATCATTCGAATACAAATGACGTACAATATAATATTTGACAACCGCGTGTAGAGAAACAGAAACGTACTTCGTTCAATAAAATTTGTCATAGTAAAAATCGTTCGTCTCTAATCTATTCGAGAATTCTCTGAATTAGGAAATGAATATTAAAGCTAAAAGACATATGATATATGTGTATATAAAAATACATATAATATTAAAAATGTACAAGAGTAAATATTAAAAACATAAATTCTCAACTTCTCAACTGCCCGTTTCATGTATTTTAATTCACATTCAGAATTACGTATAAACTATTTTGTCTCCTGCAAAGTTCATACTAGATACACGAAAGGATTCCTTGAATTAGAAGACGCACATTAAACTTAAAGGACCTACAATATTATAATATAAAAATACATGTAACGAGAACAAGTGTAAATATTAAAAACACGGGTTCTCAATTTCTTAATACGTATTTCACGCACTTTGACAACAAATTCACGTTCAAAGTCACGTATAAACTATTTGTCCCTCGGAAAATTCATACAAAAGAATTCTAAGAATGGGCTAGAAGACGCAGACGAAACCTAACCTAAAAAAACATGTGTGTATAAAAATACGTATAATACTGAGAAACATACAAGTATTAATATTTGTATTTAATACAGATGCATACAATACATATGTATATAAAAGTACGTATAATACTGAGAACATACAAGTATTAATATTTGTATTTAATACAGATGCATACAATACATATGTATATAAAAATACGTATAATGCTGAGAACATACAAGTATTAATATTTGTATTTAATACACATATTAAAAACGCAGATCTTCAATTTTTTAACACCTATTTCACGATATACCCCCAATGTCAATACACCAAGCCGTTCAAAGCCATGTACAAACTATTTAGGAAACTCTGTTAGGACAGTTCATATGAAAGAATTCCCTGAATTAGGCATATAATACAGTACGTGTACTATACTAAAGTAACATAACAAGGTATACGTATATAAAAATACATGTAATACGAAGAACGTGCAAGTGTAAATATTAAAGACACAGATCCTCCTATTTGTCCCCCGGAAAGTTCGTACGAACAGGATTCCACGGTCTGCACGTTCGTTGAGAGATGTGGCGAAGAGGCGAGGGCCTTGCGCGCACGACGCGGCGTGCCATCCCGGAGGAATCCCTCGTGAGTGTTACCATTAGTTTCCCGCGCGCCAATAAATCTGCTCGTGGGATCAGGTAGGCAGCGAGCGTGGCAGTTCCTTACTGCTCGGCTCACGGCGGCTCGCTTCTCGCAACCGAGAGAAACGCGTCCCGGCTCTTTCTCGCGGTAACGAGCTCCCATGTAGCACGTCGTTCGCTCTTTCGACGACGCTCGAGAGCCTCTCCTTCGTCCAGACTCTTGGCCGAAGAGCCAAGAGTTCTGCGATCCGCGCCTGTGGCCGAGCTCGTGCTCGAATTATAGCGACCACTAACGTTATCCCCGCGTACGACATCGGCCGACATCGTTCGTAGGTCATAGGTCAGCCAGGAATCCGAGCTTGTAATGCACGGTGTAGTACGCGGGCAAGCGCGATCTCCGTCGCGTGCACCGACGATGCGAGAAATGACGCGACAGGGATGAAGCAGAGACAAAGAGAGCCAACGACGGGGAAAACACCAACGTGATTCGTGTCCAACTTGACGTTTATGCACCTCCCCTTCCCCTCGGCCGAATTTATGGAAGGAGATTAAGACGTTGCCGGCCAGTCGCCTGTGGAAATTTCATGCGAATCGAAAGTTAATAGCGCGCCTTTGCGCCCGTCCGCGTGAAGAAGCGATTAGACGGCGGCTAGAAGATTCCTTTTCGTCTGGGAATGAAAATTCATGGCTCGAAAGGGATAACGTGGACGAAATGGTTCACGAAAGGATGGATTTTTTTTAGAGGTTTCTTTCTATTGAGATATAAGTCATTCATTTCTCGAGAATTGATTATAAATATCACTTGTACGATGAAATTAATTAAACTATGAAATTGCATTTCAGGAGAAGAATTAAATTTCGAAAATTTAAAATCTTCGACAATAATATTTATCATCTTTGATGTCCAGACTTTGCGCTTACAAATCCTTGGATCACTTTCAACGAATAAAAGATCTGAACGTTTCGTCTGTGCACACATTCCGAGCCAAGGATGATTTGCACAACACTTTGCAATTGCTGCGACGTTACAAATTATTCGGGATCGTGAGCAACAACAAACAAGAGTTTGATTATTGCCATGCATAACGCACACGTCGCGTTTAACGCAACACGATGAAAAGATCTTTCCGCGAGGAATTGATCACGGAGTAAAAAATGGCGTGCAGAAAGGAAGAGAGTCGACGTGGACTGGCGTGAAAGCGAATTCTGCTCTGGTTGAGGACGCAGGAATGAATATCGTGATTTTCGTAATGACAACTTCCAAATGGCGACAGAAAGAAAGTACGCGGATGTGTTCTTCCTTCTGTTCCGGCGCGAAACTTTCGCGGAAGTTGAAATATCGGTGACTGAGAAAAGTAGATATCAGACCTCTAACCGAGACGTCTCGATCGAACGCAACGATTGAAAGACGATAATTATTGAAACGAATTGGCATGTAACCGATGATAAATACCAATAATTAGATTGAGGATGCCTGTGCGAAACAATTTTTCAAATGCCATGACGTGTGCTGCATTTTAAATATTTTATCCATTTCTGATGGGTCTCATGAAGTTCGCATAAAAATCCGCGGTCTATTATTAACGTGTAACATGTACAGCAGAAGCATCCGACTTTTTATGGGTAGTAGTACGAGTAGATCAGGATCGATGTTGGAAACTTTCGCGTACTCCGCTTTGCAGCGAAACAAAAGTGAAAACAGGTGAGAGAGATTAGTTGCGAAACACTTACACACTCATCCGACGAGGTCTTGCCTCCTCTACGCAATAAAATTCGCCATACCTGTAACAAAAATAAAATTTCCCATAAATCCACCTTGAACGTTACTTAGCTACTAAATTTCGTACAACCAAAAGTAAAACCAAAACTTAAAAAAATCTGTCCAAATCGAAAAAAAAAAAATATCTGTCATTTCGTTCAATTCCGTGTACGACGTCCCGAAAAGAAAAACGGCAGAAACGGCGACGAAACAGCACGTACACGTTTGAATCGAAGCCGCAGGCTAGCCTGTTCACAGCTCGGGCCGCCCTTTAAAAACCCAGTTTATGTTGCCTAAGTCACGTGCAGCCGGTTAGGAAAGGGGACAACATCCGGTGGCCGAGGAGATGTGCCAGGCACGCCGATAGGGGAACACGACGCCGAGACGGATAAAGGTTCGCTGCTCGTGGCGAAACCGAGGAGAAGCAGAAGAAGAAGAAGAAGAGGAGGAGGAGGAGGAGGAGGAGAAGAAGAAGAAGAAGAAGAAGAAGAAGAAGAAGAGCGAACGATACTCTACCCGCGGCTGTTCGCTTCTGCGGGATCGCCGCGCTGCCATCGCCGGGGAAACGAACTTCACTCCGCTTCGTTTCGCTTCGCGTAGAGCAGAGAGGCCCGGTATTACCATATTCACGAGGCTTCCATCTCGAAGTCAATGTCATGGTCCGATGGAGCCTCCGGGCAACGCGGACGATCCCACAGGCAGCCTTGAGGAATGTTAGTGTCAGGGTCTCCCATCGGGCCGGAGGCGACAACGAAACCAGTTCGCAGTCACGTGTCGGGACCACCGCGTCGCCTTTTGAAACAATATTAATAGCCGCTCCGCGGATATTGGACCGAAAACGCAAACCCTGCTGCTCCGCTGATGGAACCCGCCGCTCGAAAATCCTTTTCGTTAGCTACTTTCGATAGCTACAGTCCCGTTAACGAGCCTGGCAAAGTGTGAAGACACCGGTTTGGCTACGTGACAATCCATCCAGATTATTCGATAGACTTAGATTAATCACTTTTCGGACGAGGATCTGTAGGAACTTTGAAGGAATTTGGCTACTCTGAAAGTTCTGAAGGCTTCGGGATCGAGTGTGTTGTAATTTTCTTGCAATTCATACTTGTTTCTTCCGCTGGACAAATTTAACAAAGTAAATCATTTATTCGTTCGAGATTAATCGCGAAATTGAGGAACTTTCGAAAAGTTTCTCGGTTTGTTTTCCATGGAGGAGTGCAGCCACGATACAAAACGTCACTGATGGAATTCTAGCGTAAGTAGTGTCCTGATATCTCACGAACGGAGATATACACGGTGTTGTACGCCTGCGTTGCGTGACGAATCTGGAACGCGTCCGTGACTTTCGCGTCCGCGTGGCCGATAGAGAGAATGTAGGTTAATTCAGCGGTGCGCGAGTCGATCCTTTTATCTCTTAAGCCACGAGCTTCTCGCTAAATCGGAAGGATGAACAAGAACCTTCGCGTTGTGTCGATTAGATCGCCAGCTAATGCTGATTTCACTCGTCTGACTCACTTTTATTAGACCGAATTGATCTAAAGTGCAATTTTAGGTGATAATATCACACACACTCGCGAGAGCATTCGAACATCTTTTATATTAAATTCTGAAATTTCATGTACTAGCGAAATTTCAAGACGTTTATTAAAAGTTTCTTTTAATGAATGTAAAAATACTTTCGTGAGTCAGCTTCGTCGTATGAGTCATTTTCAGAGCGTAACAACTCATTAAACTCCAACGATGAAAAGCGTGAAGAAACATCGTTTGCAAAACATTTGCATTGGAATTTCCCAAGCAGATTCTTGGCAAGTGAAAAACGAAGGAGCAAATTGATCAAAATGATCGATCGCGATCGGTTTTATTACAGTGTTCTCACTCAACAGACTTGAGGAAAACATACTACTTGAAACACGTAGCAGCTCCATTTGAAACATGTTTTTATATTGTCATTGCATTTATATAACACACTCCTGTGTGAAGAAAAAAAAAAAAAAAGAGTCTAACACTCTGACACGCGATAGTTGTTTACCCGCTTCTAATTCCCTTGACAAAAAAGGAAACTTAGGTGTCCATTCGCAAGCTAATTACTCTGCTTCTACGCCTACCGGGGACTTTCTAACGGCAATATAAAATCGTTCGTTGTACGAACGATTAATTATTAATTATCATTGGTCGGCGCGACAAAACATTGGTCGGTAAAGTCGAGAGGAAAGCTAACGACACGGATTGCGCGTCGAAAAATCGAGAAGAATGTCGGTCGTCGGCAGCCTCTAATTAATGGCTGTGCACGCGCTTTTCCAAAGGCAACGACGAGCGTTAATAAAGTGCACGGAACCGGGAACTTTCACTAACTCTCTCGTGCGTCCAGACTTTAAAAGTTGCGCCTCCACATACCGTGAACTCGGCTTCACGGCCGATGGAAAATTAAATTTTCTTTCACTCTCGATGGAAACTAAGGTCACTTCTACCAGCTATCGACGCGAAAAAAATTTGCTTCTCTGTTCGAAACATCGAACATTTTTTCTGCAAGTTTCTCTCCTTGATGACCAATATCACTTCCATGTTTTGACAAATAAATATTCTCTGGATCATACAATTTCGAATCTGGATAATGGCAATTTTCCCTTCTGTTGTATAATACTACAAGATACTTTCGCATCTGCGTATAATTTTTTCCAAAATTCAAATTCAATTAGCATGGATCGCTACTGCACTGGCCAAGTTGCAAAGTTATTATTATTATTCACAAGGTATCTTGAATTTGTCAAATCTTACCAAGAAACGGATTGTAATTATTTGTCTTTGACTTCATATTCAATTTAATCAACACTTCACACATTATAAATATACGATTACTTGGTTTTAACGAAAATAGTCGGTTATACTTGTTAGAGTTAGAACTCATTTGGAATCTCATTTGGAATATTTAGAGAAGATTTCGCGATATTCAATTTTTCACATTAAGCCTCGAAAAAAAAAAAGAAAGAAGGAAACAATAATTGTAGTTTCAAGAGTATAAAGGCGGCATAGTATTTACCGCAAGAAAAAATACAATAAAACGTTTCGTTACTTTCTCTTAGAACTCGTGCAACAGATATCCGACGACCTCCGTCCTATATCACTTGCATTATTAAATTCAATTCGAACCCTCGCACGATTCTATCAATTTATGCTTAGACTAAGCCAGGAATGGAAGCGTAAGAGGCGTTAGAAATTTTACAAACCGATCGACTAGCTACGCGTCATATTGTCCGCGAACATATATCGATTGTCAACGAATCGACGATCGTTTCACGCGCGATAAACGCCCCAGGCGCCAGTAAAGTTCCCTTTTCTTCTTTCAACAAGATACAGAAGGCGTAAACTTAAAACGCCTATATTTTCACCATGTTCATTTCCCCGGCGAGTTACACACACCAAGCGAAAACTGAGTCGCCAAGTGCATCCTACTTTCGCCGTGCTTGCCTGCGCGCGTACAACGTTTTCTGCGTGGGACTTGTACGAGAGTCAAGCCGTTGTAAAAGCGACTCGTTCTCCCATGCCCATAGATTCGACACACAATCCTCGGCGAGATCGGGAGACAGATCGATGATTTCCATCGAATCAATTGCGTGGGCACGATCTGAATGTTTCCATCAACGACGTTGGATCGCAAGGACGCAATTTCGACAAGTTTCTGTAGAAAATTCTGAGAGCTTCTGCTTCTGAGAAAGTTTAATCATTTTCTTTTTTTCTTTTTCGCTTGAAAGAGGTTGAAAAAGTTGGATCTTTCATTGCTAGAAAGTTTCAAGAGATTAAAACAAATCTACGACAGAGATTTATTAGCGGATAGTTGCAGAGTAAGGGACGGCTGTTTGTCGGTAGCTCGGTGATTTTTCACTAAATTAATAAAATTCGATCGGTGTTCTGAAAAATTTCTCGCCTCGTTAATATCAATTCACCGTCTTCTTTCCAATCGAATATTCCATACAAGTGACCGAAATCGAAATATGGAAGGTCGATTTGCGAAATTGAAAAGATACACATTCGAAATTGTACACACTCGTAGTTGGAGTTAATAGAATTCTATAGAACCGTGATGCTCGAAGCGAACTTGAAGCTTTCAAGAAGAGACGCGTAATTTGGGAAATTAATTCTAATCTCAATCTCCATACTCCCACGCTGTGAAGAAAGCCTGGCTGCAACGCGAAACAGCCTCTTCCTAATTTCAACGGACACATTCGGAGAAAAAAGGAATTATTGCCAAACCGGAGTTACGAATTTGTATCTCCCTTGTATTGTTTCTCTCTCTCGGGAACAATCGCCACCGAACCTTTATATGATAATCCGCTAATCTACTGATCTACGTATAAATTAGAAATCCCCAGATGCCGAGATGTAAACTCAACGATCAACGATCGTTTCGCGCGCACGTCAGGCGCGGATATGTCAGAGGAGCTCGAGTAGGAGTTGCGCACCGTGAGAGAGTCGCTCGACCCGTTTACTTTCTCGCGCGAGGATGCAAGCCGAAAGGATTGAAGAATCCACGATTCGACCGCGACACGGCGGCGAGGAAGCCAACATCCGCGGCAGCACGTGTCCGTGAGATTCCTCCGCGGCAGAGGAAGCATCGATACCGGTCGTGACGATTTCTCCTCGTCAGAGAAACCACCTACGCCTCTAACGATAATATTTGTTCTTGACTGACGTTAATATCGAAGCTGAAGAGCGTTTCGCCAGTTGTTAGCCGACTTTCCCGCGGGCGAGGGAACAATAAAACTGTACGCAGAGAGAACGCAAATAACAACTGCGTGATCCGCGAGGAAACCCGGAAAACTGATTGAAAAATTCGGGAGAAACCGACCTGATTGTTGAGTTTCGTATTGTGAATTGACTCGTCATTCTTTGGCAAAAAAAAAAAAAAAACCTGAGAAAAATCAGAGAGAAAAGCTTCTGTAACTTTGAGAAATATAAATCGAATTTATGTTATAAATGTAGAATGTCTGATAGAATGGATAAATCGTCTGATAAATCTAGATGGGAG